TACATTTATGCGCTGCATCACTCTTTTGTCTATTTCATTTAGCCATTGCTGGCTTGGCTTGTCCAAGATGAGGGAATGGAGTGGCTGACATCCACCTCAGCAAGACCTTTTCAGAAGCCTTGCCAGGCTGGAATTTACCACCTCTGCGAAAAAATAAAGTTTGCAGTGACCCTGCAAATGTTTCATCCTTATAACTCCAGCTGTCTTTTGGATGGTTACCAAGCTCAACCAAATCCAAAATGTGGGCCAAGAGGTGGAGCTTGGGCTTTGATCTCCACAATCGAACCTCTGAGCCATCACTGGCTTGGACTTCTGCTTCTAAAGCCATGTACTGGCTGATGAATTTTCTTCCAGCCTTCACCAGTTCTTCTTTGTTGGAGGCTTCTAAACTGTTGTACATATGGCTGCAGTACTTGGCCACTTTGTAGACAGCTTTCTCATGCCAGGTGCCTTCATGCAGGCATTGTCTTTTGCACAATGGTTCGAGAAGGGGGCAAAAATCCCTGACTTCATGGGCCTTGCAATCCAAAACTGGAGCTTTCTTTGGTTTGACTATATCCTTGACGGTCAACTTCTTGAGCCTTTTGCAGGCTGGAAAATCTCTTTCTTCATACATTTTTTGAATCTCTTGCCAGAGATTGGCACATCTTTCATCTTGAGAAGTGCCTGGAAAAGATTGCAGTAATTCTTTCAGAATTTGCCCTGCTGCCACAGCAAGACTGCCCTCATCACAAACATGCATCCAATCTGGCATGATGGTGCCATTACTGACATTGGGCAATTGAAACAAAGGATTGATTGACTTACCTCGATCCATGAGGAAAGTCAAGTAGGCATCCTTGTCCATGGTTTTCTCCAACCTAGCCATGCTCTGGCTCATTTCCCTCCAGTTGTCTGGAGTGGCTTGGCACAGCCAGCAATTCCCTTTCTTCTCATTCCAAGTGCCTGCTCCAAAGTATTTACAATTCCAATCCCAATCAGATCGAATTTGGATGAGGGTTGCCTTCCCAGGCAGAGCTGCACCTGCCCTAAATTTTCTGTAGGCATCATGCTTCAGCCAGGGTGAGCCATCATGTCTGGCTGTGGGAAAAGTGCCTTTGTTCAGGCAATCTTTCCAGCCATGCAGTCTTCGACTTGCTGTAAGTCTGTTCCAAACCATCCAGCTCTTGGATGCTTGCATCCAGTTGGCTGCTGTTAGCAGTGAGCTGAGCCTTTTTGCAGGCTTCTTTGAGGAGCAGCAGTTTGTCCACTGCTGTCCCTAAGGAAGTCACAGCCTTCTTCAGGCTTTTGTAGGTTGCCTTGTACTGCTCTTCCATGGTGGTCTCGACCTCATCCATTTCTGGCTTGGGTAGAGGCCTGTCAGGCTTGGGTTTGCCACCCAGAGTCACTTGGCTGGACTCTGGCACAGCCATCAAAGCCTTCTCCACTTGCTGGAACTCAGGGGCTTGCAGGTCCTTGACCTCCTGGTGAGCTGCTGCGGTGGACTCATAACTTCTTTCCTTGAGCTGCTGCGGTGGACTCATAACTTCTTTCCTTTTCAGTCGCAAGCTGCTTCTCAAGCTTGTATTGCTTGTGCCCCAGCTCTGCCCAAGCTTTGACCTCATGAGGTCTCTCAGGCAACCCCAGTACTGCAGCTTCTGCCAGCTTGTTGAAGTCTGGGTCTTGTGGGTCAGCACCCTGCAACTTGGCTATCTGGTACTTGGTCATCCAACCATCGATGACTTTGTCAGTCTTTTTGAGCCTTTCCAGGCTTTACACTGCGACTGGCTGCAGATTCATCCAGAAGGAAAGTGTTGTAGTAAAACTCTCTTTTGGCTTGTTGGCTTCCATTGGCACATGCCTTGTCCCAGGCAGTCTTGAGGGCTGTGTCTCCAGCCTTGGCTTTCCTGGCAAGTTGCTGGTGCATGTCCTTCCAAGCATCTTTTGAAGGAGCAGGCAACTCCCCATCCTTCACTGCTCTAGCCTTTGCAGGCTTGGATTCAGTACTTGGGGCTTCCATAGCTGCTGCCTCAGAGGCTACAGAAGGAGTTGCCTCTGGAATGGCAAAGCCATCACTGGCTTTTGCTTTTGCTTTTGCTTTAGCCATTGCTTTCTTCTTGGGGGTTGGTGGCTCCACCTTCACATCGGGAGCTTTTCTTTTTGCCATCTTGCTACAGACACTGGCCAGTTGTTTAAAGCTTGAGGTCAGAAAAATGGCTGCAGATTTTTTTGGGTGGGGTTGAAAAATGTGACCAGGGACTTTTTGGAACTTTCGGAACTTTTAGATTTATATAAGAAAACAATATCTAGGAATAGAAAGTTCCAAAAGTTCCATAGTCCAAAAGTTCCGAAAGTTCCTTTTTTCAACCCTTTCGAAGTACCACTGAAAGCAGGCAGGCGCACCTTTTTTTTCCAAAAACTCTCAGCTGCAGTGCTGGTAGAATGCCTTTTCAGGCAGGGTGCCATTGCTGGCAAGTTGCCATTGCTGGCAAGTTGCCATTGCTGGCATTTAAGGAGCAGCAACTGGTTCTGCTGCCCTTGCACCTCCAGTACCACCATCTTTTCCACCACTAGGATCCTTTTCCTGAGAGCCATTGTCTGGCTTTTCTTCCTTTGGCTGCTTCTTCCCTCTGGCTGTTTTGCTTCTCCTCCTGTTCTTTTTCTTTTTGCCTTGTTCAGGCACTCCTCCCCCTCCTCATCCCCACCTTGAATGAGGGTGCCATCTGCTGGCATGTGCTCACATCTTGGTTTCCCATCTTTGCCTAACCTTGTCCCCACACTCTTCGACCTCTCCCTGCCATTGCCATCACTGGCACTGGAAGCCTTGCTCTTTCTTGTGCTCCCCTTGGCAGAAAGCCTCTTGCCCTCCTCTCTGCATCTTCCCTAGCAACAATGGCTAGCCAGTCTGCTTGTTGCTTTTCCCATTCATCCGACTTTGCTGGATCTTTTTCTTGAGCCATTTCCCTGGCTTTGCGTTGCAATTCATACATTTGCCTCTTGAGAGCCTTATTCAGACTGTGGACCCTGGGCTTTAACTCCTCAGGGACTTCTTCACCTTTCCTTTCCAACTCTCTTCTTTGAGCTCTTCTTTTGGCAGAAGCCCTGCCATGAAACACCCACCTGTCTGGATTTGGAGGGGCAGCTTCAGAACTCTTCCAATCTTGCCATTGCTGGCAGGTGTCTTGCCAGTCCTCCCAGTCTTGCCACTGCTGGCTGGGTGAAGACCAGTCTTGCCATTCCTGGCATGAGGTTCTCACACAGCGGGTTGGCTGCACTGTGATGGTGCCATCTCTGGCAATGGAGCTTCTGCTAGTGCCATCACTGGCAGAGTTGGGTGGGCCAGGGCCAAAGGCGTCACCCCACTGGGGATCCCAGTCTGGGGTTTCACCTTGGCTTCCCCAACTCACCAAACAATACGGTTTGGATTCAGAGCCATCCCTGGCTTGGATGTAGCCCTTCTCCTTGAAGTTGCCCTTTTTGACCCAGCCAAAGCTGCAGCTTGCTACCCATGTGTTGTGGGTTGCCATGTGCACGTGCTTTGCAGGCTTGGTAACTTTTGCAGTCTTGGGAGCCATTGCTGGCTTTTTTTGGGGGGGTCATGCAGCTGGCAGGCCTTTTGTAGCTGCCATTCTTCCCATTTTTGGGTTTCAGCTTTTGAGGGGTCACTATACCAGATGAAGTGGAAGAAACTTCCTGTGTGCTGACCACAAAAGCTTCCTTTTCTTCACTGCCTGCGCTTTCGCTCTCCACCTTGGACTTTGTGCTGCTGCCTTGAAGCATTAAAATTTTTGATTTGGTGGCTGGAGCCTTTCCAGGCTGGGAGTCTTGCTTTTGAATTGTTGCCTTGTTATTTTCAGGCTGGGGGTCTTGCTTTTGAATTGCAGCCATTGCTGGCTCAGGGGCCACAAGAGAATCAGATGGCAAGTGTGTTTTCCTTTTTAGCCTTCTTTCAGGCTGAGGCTGGGGTTCACTGGCGATAGGTGCCAAGCCCATGGCTTTCATCACTTGGAGGACTGCAGGGCTTGTCTTCTCTCCATTTTTCATATATTTAGCTTTTTTGGTCAGCCATCTCTTGTATTGCACCAAGTGCTGAGTGATCTCACCTCTGTCCAAATTTGACATTTTAGGGCAAGCAATTTGGAAAGAGAGCCTTGCTTCAGGCTTAGTGGGCTTTTCAGCAAACCAGACAGACAAAAAGGTTGCTTGCTTTGAAATAGCCATGTCTGGCTCAAGGGGAAAATCTTTCAAGCTACAATCTGGCACAAAGCCAGAGATGAGGCCAACCAATTTTGCCATTCTTCCATCGCCTTTGGTCTGCTCCACTGGCAAAAGACGAGCAATTTCCAAAAAGATCTATGCTCTTGAGCTTGGGCTAGGTTGATGACATGGTTAGTAAATATCTATCTATCTATATATATATATATATCTCTATATGTGTATATTCTTTTTAGTTTGTTAATGAGCTACCATTTCCAGAAGCTAAAAAAACAAGCTTCTAGAAGCTAAAAACCAAGTTTCTAGAAGCCAAAAAAACAAGCTTCTAGAAGCCAAAAAACAAGCTTCTAGAAGCCAAAAATTTTGGCTTCTGGGGTGCTAACATAAAAAAAATACTGGAAGCTTGTTTTTTGGTCAGAAGCTAAAAAAAGTAGCTGGCAGACAGTTTTCAGAAGCTAAAAAAACAAGCTGCCAGACAAAAAAACCAGCTGGCAGTCAAAAAACTGGGCTTCCAAAACTGGCTTCCAGGAGGGTGGGAGCCAAAAAAACTAGCTGGCAGATAGAAAACAAAGCTTCTCGGAAGCTAAGGGCATCACAACACACCGAGCATCGAGCCCTGACCTTTTCACACCCCAACAAAACCCCGAAAGCGGTTCAAGTCCGAACCTGAAAATGTTTGCCAAAGGTTTGGCAAAGCCCCAGCACCTTGCTTGTCAAGGTCAAAGGTATGTGGCCCTTTCCGCCACACCAAAAAGAAGGCCTCAGAAGCGCCGTCTCCGTCGCTCTTCAGGCGACATTGAGTCAACAATTGCCTGCCGCTGCTTCGACGTCGACCAAAGTCGGAGGCTATCTTTGTAACTGAAGCCTTTGGCCCGCTTCTTTGCAATGAACTTGTCCATGGCAATTTTCATTGGGCCATTGTTGGGTTTGCGCTTCTTGCCACTCTCAATCTTCTTCTTTCCCCCCTTGCCAGACGATCCTGTAGTAGTGCCAGCAGCAGCTGGCACCTGAGGACCTCCAGCATCATCTTTCTTTTGACGCTTCAGTTGCTGCTCTAATTTCTTTTCAGCCATAAGTTGGACTTTTTTCAGAGGATTCGGAATCTTGGTTGGAGTCTCAACCTCAAAGTATGTCTTATGGCCTTGTGGCGTAACAGCTGGCTCAATGACTACCGGCGGCGTTGCCGAAGAAGCCTCCCCACAGGATGCACTTCTCTTCCACTCAGCAACATCACTGGACGAAGGCTCAACAACTCTGTGAACCAAACCAGGGGTGTGAAAGTCAGGCGCTTCAGTGCTACGAGTCTTGACAGGTGAAGGAGCTTCATCCCCAAACCACAACTTCGTGAGCTTCCCTGCAACCTTCTCCCAATCAGAATAGTCTCCAATGAATTCGCCCTTTGAGTCGAAGTGACCCTGCAAAATCCAGGCAGCTTCCCCAAGGATTGTGCCATGTACTGTATACGTGTCCTCAAACCCAAAAGAATCGATCAAGTTTAAACCCTGCCAAGCCAATGATTGAAACTGTTCAAGAACATGGCACTATCCAAAACTCAAAAGCAGCAGAACCACTCAGGAAGCGTCGTCCAGTTCAGCGCCTCCCACCTTGAAGACAGCTAAAAATCGGAGAGACAAAATCACTTCTGACACGGAATTCTTTTGAATAGCTTGGCCCTTCACATGAGATGAATCTCTGGGCTGCCCTTCCGGCTGGTCCTCCTGACACAACAGGCGCAAGAGGTGAAGTGGTGAAGTGATGTCACCAAAGACTCAAACAACTACCTCCCTGCTTGCACGTGTGGCTCCTGGAATCTCAGCCCTTCAGCTTCTACATTGAAAGATGGAAATGGCCTACCCCCTTCGCGCTCTTCTCTCAAGCGGGCGACAACCCAGGCATCAAATGAAGGGTGCCCCTCCATGTCCTGCAACAAATCGCAGATTTCAGACACACAATAACAGCCGCAAAACATTTGTGGCCTTCACAACATCAGTTTTGCGCCGCTTCTTAGGTGAAGGCTCCTGGAAATAGAACACACCCCTCTGCGATGAAGTGATTGGAATTGACAAAAAGCACACCCGGACCACTTCAGTGAAGAGCTGACCTCCGCGTCAGCAGTTTCATCTCCAGCCTCGCCAGTTCAACAATTTTGAACAACTTTAAAACTTTATAGCATTGCACAGGCTGAGAGACAGAGAGAGAGAGAGAGAGATAGAAGGTGCCTCGCACAAGTGGGCATTGGCGACCGCATCGCTGGGCTCACCAGCCCAAGAACATTGCCCCGCCTTTCAGGCTGAATATCCATAACTTAGCAAACAAGACTGGGGCAACTTGCAACCTCTTCATCTCCAGCGTTATCTTTATGTTCGTCAGTAGTGTCCTGGAATAGGTGCACCAAACATGGGGCTGCAATTTCAAGATTTGCTGCAGCATAGCTTCAAAAACATCATCTCCCCCATCCTGGTCATGGTCGCTCAAAACCTCCTCGTCAGGCCAATCCACCTGCAAAGGAGAACAAACAAAAGCCAGTAGCAACACTGTCACTGTTTACATACGGAAAGAAGTGCAAAGCACAGCCGCTGCCAAGCTTGAAAGAACTTCCGCGCCTCCTGGATTTCATAGTCCTTGTCACCATTCCACACGTAAGCAGCGTAAGAAGCCTGTATCAGGAATGGTTCATGACCCACCCACCTCTAGAAAAACAAGCACCCAAACCTCACAAGCTGCATCCACACCAAACCGCATTGCTCTTCTGTAGTAATCTTCAGCCATCGCCTACAAAAGCAAGACTCCGAAGTTGGTTGAAGCTTACGGGACATACGCGGACAGTGCGCGAAGCTGTCCATGTGTTGGACGAGCCTCCTCGTGATCAAATTGCACAGGGTCCAGCTCCTCGTCAGGGTCCACCTCCTCGTCGTCCTGCGCAAACAGGAACTGACCACGCCCATTTATTGCAACAAGCTATAGGCCTCGAAACCCATCTCAGCTTCTGATTCTTCGCGTCGGATCAAGCCATCTGATCCATCCTCATATGTACACATACATCAAAATGGATTGAAGGAAACACAAATGCACTATATAGACCCTAAGGTATCAGCATCGTCTTCATCATCCTCCTGCGTCGCCTGAACCACCGCCCCAATAGTGGGTGAATTGAAACTGGACCACTGGACCACTCACAACACTACATTAGATCTGGAAACCCACGTTCGCCTAGCGGAAAAACTAAAATGTTTTAAGTATAGCAGCCTTGGCCAAGAGTGTAACAGCTAGAGAAGTATGCGAGAAGAGTCTACTATGGGACCACACCTGGGGTTCTTCCTCTGCAGCTGGAACCATTGCTTCCCAGGCCTGATCGACGTGTGAGAGCGGTATCGGATCGTTGCTTGAGAGTGGGCGCCCAAAGCCTCCGGATGCATAGAAGGATCCTGAAGCAAACGTCGCATCGTAACTTTTGGGGAATTTTGTTTGTGTCATAACACTCGAAGCATAACCAAAAAGTAGTTTGGGGCATCGACCCAGGGCTGAGTTTCAAGATCGTCGGCCATCGACATCCTCTTGGACTTTTTCGCTAGGCGGGCCAATCGCCCAGCTTGAGCATCCAAATAGTCTTCTGGAGACTCTCTCGGGGCCCCATTCAACTTGAACGGAAGGTTGGAGAGCAACCGCTTGCATATCATGGTGCACAACCTCTTTGTAAACACACGCCCTTTCATATCCCGTAGACATGCAAACATGCGCTTGTTTCTGGCAGTTCGCATGCTGCAAGAACGTGGGAATAGAGAACCCGTAGCTTCTATTTGATCATGGTCCATAGTGTTTTCCAGCCGTTTGGCCACATCAGTTGCCAACTTCAACCTCCGTGCCCTTTGGTGGGAAAGTCGTCCTTGCCCATGTGGCTTTCGTGACCATCTTGGCCGGGCCATGGGCACAAAACACAAGCAAGCAAGCTTTCGGCCCTTGTATACGACATATTACGCGTGTTTTTTTTGGGGGGGCTTCAGCCTACACCAAAACTTGCAGGGAATGGAAATAACAGAATGTGTCTCACCTCAAAATACCCGTTTGGCGTTCTTCTGTTTGGAGCCTAGAAGCAGCAGAGCAACCCAAACTATAGGTTGCAAAAAAGTTTGCTGCAGTCAGTCTTGCGTGCGGTTCGGCTGAGATCAGCGCTTCACTGCGGACAGGTCAGAGCCAGCAGGCTGGAAAAACATGCCAACGGGGTGAGAGTTACAGAAGTGGTCCGTTGCACATTGGAAACCACGCTAGTGTATATAGGCAGATAAGTGTATATATGGGTATGTGACATGCGTGAGGAAGGTATATAGTTTACAAAATGCAGACAATCATCTTAAACATCTAAATACTCCTTCATTCGAATGTGGCAGCGGGCGGTCGGCAAAACATAGTCCACAAAGCCACTCTGTGCACAGCTAACTGTCCAAAAAGGCACATCGCATTGCCCTATAGCCAACCCCAAGTAAAACCAATGGGCGGAAGTTTCAAAAAGCAATATACTATAGGAGTTGCGACGCACGTGTGTGGTGCGTAATGCAGTGCCATGACAATTTCTTGATTGCTGCGCTCCATGTGGCCCACTCTCGACGCGCAAAGACACTCATTCAATAGGCAAGACACAGTGCGTTTTGGACACACACTGTCCACACACAGCAAGACTGTGGCTATGGGCAGGGGAAGGACTTATAGACGATCTATAAGTTCATAGGGGAAGGGTGAGCTATAAGTCCTCTCAACCGCTGTTGGTAGTTCCTGAAGATCTGAGCCAGATGCCGCTGTGGCTTGGCATTGAAACCCAAACGGCTGAGCGACGTGAGAAGCCATATGATTCAGAAGGCTCGCAATCCAGCGGAAGCTTTGAAGTTGTGAGCGAACCAAATGATGTCAAAGACATCAGGGGGAGTGAGAAATCCTAAGCACCACTCTACCTTTTTTCATGCAGTTGACATTTCAGTCATGAGCACTGAGCATAACCAACCTCGAACTTTGGCTCAAGAAAACAAGAGCGGCCGCGTTTTTGCTTTTGCCGCTCGCACACGCTCAGATACAATACCCTGCTCAATCATACTTGTTGGTGCATTGGAGGTGCACATTTGGCTGGGTGAGTTTGTTGATGTTTATTTCAAGGTTGTTTGACCATGAAATGGAACGAATCCGAATCAGAGGTTGTCGATTCTGATCCAGCGATCGACATGTCTCAGTCCAATGGTTGTCTAGTCTGATCCAGCGACCTACTACCTACTACCTACTACCTACTACGTACCACCTACTACCTACTACCTACTAACTGCTGCTACTACTGCTACTACTACTACTACCACCACTACTCCCTACAGTCCAACCTACTACCTACTACGTACTACCTACTACCTACTA